GTTCATAAACAAATGTTGCCAACAATATGAAGGGGCTTTTTCCCCAGTACCAGAGACTGAACCTAGGGGCTGTCTGCCACTGAGATACATCCCCCAGACCTTTTCATCTATCTATCTATTAAATCTTGTTTTAGGATCTCACTAAGTTGCTCAGTTGAATTCAAACTTGTAACCCTTCTGCCTCAGCCTACCACATAGCTGGGATTACAGGCACGCACAGCACGCCCAGCTAAAGAAAATGAACCCCTGTATATAGTCTGGCTGGAAGACAGGTTAAAACAGACATTCTGGTGAACAGAATAGCAGTTCTTCAAAAAAACTAAAAATAGGGCTGGGGATTTAGCTCAGAGGTAAAAGCACCTGCCTGGCAAGTGCAAATCATGAGTTCTATCCCAAAAAGAACGAAGGAAAGAAAAAGAAACAAACCTAAAATAGTCTGACCGTATGATACAGCTATCTCATCAAGGAAATGAAGTCAACACTCCAAGGACAGTGCATGTTCCAGTTAACTCCAGCTCCCGTTGCACCAGCCAACTTGTAGAATCGGCAATGTGCTCATTAACGGGTGAATAGGTAGAGAAAGTACGGTATAAATAAATGTATACAATGGAGTATTACTTAGTCTTAAAGGAGGAGGAAATCTTACCTTTAGCAGCAAAATAGAAGGAACTGGAGGACAGTATGTAAAGTGAAATAAACCAGACACCAAAATGTAAGTACTGCATTTTATCTCATATAGGGAAGCTTAAAAAAAGTTGACCTGACAATAAAATTGTGATTACTAGAGTCTAGGAATGCTGTGGGGCAGGAAGGGTAAAAAAGCCATGATTGAGTTTGGGTTTGATTAATGTGTGCTATACACATGTTCAAAAATATCACACTGAAAGTACAAGTAATATGTTAACAAAATAAAATTTAGTCATTTCCTGATATGCTACATGAGAAACAAAGACAGTTAATGATGCTTATAAGCATTAAAAATTATTAAGTGTCAAATCTAGTGACACATGCGTATAATCCCAGGTACTCAGGAGGCTGAGGCAGCAGGACTGCAATTTCAAGGATTGCAAATCATTAGTGATACCTTGGCTCAAAAACAAATTTTTTTGAGGTAAGGTCTCACTATGTAGTTCAGGCTGGCCTTGAACTCACTGTAGCCCCAGGCTGACCTCGAACTCATGGAGATCCTCCTGCCTTAGTCTCATGAATGCTGGGATTACAGGTGTGTACCACCACACTCGGCTGCTCAAAAAATTTTAAATAAACAAATAGTCAATCAGAAGGGCTTAGGATGCTCTCCATGCTCCCTGTGTTTAATTCCTGGTACAGAAAAATAATAATAATAAAAAAAATAATCAAGTAAGAAAAAGCGAATTATAAAACAAATCAGGAAGCCAAGCCAGGCTTCTGAGAGGGTAGTTTAAATCTGGCACCAGGCCAAGTGAGTATTGCCAGGACAACCATCCCAGTGCTTTTTTGGCATGAGGGGGAAGCCAGGCCAGGTATCCAGGACCCAAACACCCCTTTTCCTTACCCTCAGGGACACTGTGAGCCTGTTGTGAGCTATTCACTGGCGGCCCCTGCCCTGTAGAGCATATCTCTTTTCTGCCTTCCCTAAATACACAATTTTGCAGCCTTTCTGTGTGTCCTGTGCAGTTCTTTGTTCAGGACACCGAGAATCTGGAAAGAAGTCCCATGGAACCCATAAAAGTTTGATGAGGAACAGGATACATTCGTGAACTCAATATATCATCCCAATAAAAGAATTAATGATTACAAAGAAAAAAAATAGGAGCTTTATACAATGGAGAAAGTTGGAAGACACCCTAACTAAGTGATCAGAGTTAAAGATCTTGACATCTTGTTGGATATGGTGACGTGAGCCTGGATTCCAGCATTCTGGAAGCCTGAGGCAGGAGGGTAGCATATTTAAACCCAGCCTGGGAAAGTGAGTGACTTAGCAAGAGCCCATCTCAAAAATTTAAGAAAACAATGAAGATAACCTCAGTACAAGGGCCTGGATCCCAAAATATAAAATACTGCATCAATGTTAAATATCTTTAGTTTGATTACTGTATTATGTTCATCTAAGCAAATGCCTTTGTTTATAGGAAATGCACCCCATAGGGAGGTAGCTCAAGGCTAGAGAATGGTGCGATGGGGGATCACACTGATGTACTTCACATAAAAAGGTAGCGTCTACAACTTACTCTCAAAGAGTAAGAGAAATGAGGAAAAGGGAAGAGAAAAAGAAATGCATGAATAATAAGGTTAAATAATTTGTGAATCTAGGTAAAGGACATATGCAAATTACTTGTACTTTTCTTATACATTTTCTGTTAGTTTCAAATTATGTCAAAATGAAAAGTTATCCCCTGCCCCGACTCTACAGGCACATGACAAGATTCCTATAAGGCGAGCATCAATAACAGAAGTTTCAATGGCTAAAACATATCCAATATACTAAAATAGCTGGGCATGGGGAGCACACCTCTAATCACAGCACTTTGGAGGCTGAGGCAGGAGGATCGCTGCAAATTCAAATCCAGCCTGGGCTACATAGTTCAAAGTCAGCCTGAACTACATAATGAGATCCTGCCTCATCCTCCTGCCAAATATGTATAGTATACGTTAAAGTAATGAATTCAAAATAATTTACACCAAAGCCCACTCATGGGTCACCTTTAGAAGACACTATAGAATCAATGCAGTATTTTGAAAACTGGTATAAAAAGGAGACAATCAAACTTTTATCCTGACTTACCTTTAGAATACTGTACAAGATTCAGAATAGCAGGGTAGAATTTTTCATGACAGATGTTACTCCCACCCCCCAACCCCCCGGAAATTAGGAAAGAATGATAGATTACCACCATTTGCAATATCTGATAAAAGAAAGATCTGCCGGACGTGTTGGCTCATGCCTGTAATCCCAGCACTCGGAAGGCTGAGGTGGGAGGATCGTTGCGAGTTCAAGACCAGCCTGGGCTACAAAGTGAGCTCAAGGTCAGCCTGAACTGCATAGCGAGACCCTGTCTCAAAAAAGACAAAAAAAAGAAAGAAAGAAAGAAAGAAAGAAAGAAAGATCTAAGCCTCCATCTTCAGTAGTTACTATGTGTGTGTGTGTGTTTGAGACAGGGTCTCACTGTGCAATTCAGGCTGACCTCAAGGTCACTTTATAGCCCAGGCTGGTCTTGAACTTGCAACAATCCTCCTGTCTCAGTTTCCTGAGTACTAGAATTACAGGCCTGTGACACCATGCCTGGCCCAGCAGTTACCTTCTGATGAATACCTAAGACCATCCATTATGGTTTAGAACTAGATGCCTGCCTGCCAAGCCCCATTCACTTGGAGCTTTGGGGAGGGGACAGGATCATGGTGTAATGTGGGATAAGTCCACTGAAGGGTTTATAGCTGAGTGTGACTTACAGCTGAGTCAGTGTTCTCTTCTGCAGTGCCCCTCTGCCATGCTGTCCTGCCTGGGAGTCAACTTACTAATGGACTGAAACTCTCCTTTAATTTGTGAGTATCAGAAATTATGTCTCACCAATGAGAAAGTAACTCATATACACATATACATATACAGAAAAGTCTTGTAAGATATCATTAGTGCAGAAAAGCCTTGTGCCCCCAAAAAAACCAAAAACTAAAACTCTAAATTTTTAGCTCATCAATTCTCTAAATAGAGAGGACACAGAGATGGGTCAAGTGTTTCTACAAAAACACAGCCACGAAATATGTATTGGTGGGAAACTCTAGAAGACAATAGCCAATTTCTTTAACAATTTAAAATGTAACCAAGAGAGGTGGGGCGGGGAACAAAGGTAAGACAGCCAACTGCAACATCCAAACTTTTTGGATATTTGATTTTGTGAATAAAACTTTGAGAAAAAGTACAAAAATCACATGTCACAAAAATGAGCTCTGAATACTTACAAAATACAAATATTAAGAAAATACACTACTTTTTAGTCATATTAATGATATTATAATCATGTTTTAAAGTATTTGGTATATTTTAAAAATATGTACTGAAATATTTACAAATGAAATAATGTGATGTCTAAAAATTTGCTTCAAAATCATCCAGAATAGAACAAGGTGGGTAGTGTTAGAAATGAGACATAATTAGAATTTATATTACATAAGGGATACATACTCTACTTCTATACATATTTTTTTTTTTGGGTACTGGGAATCGAACTCAGGACCCAGAGTTTCCCAGGCAGGTGCTTATGCCACTGAGCCAAATCCCCAACTGTTCTACAATTCTAAAAAAGTTAATCCAAAGTCATTCCTACAGAGGAAATCATGAAAAAGTATGTAACAAATCATTAAAAATAGTTACTATGGGAAACAGGATTTCTGATATTTCCCTTTCTTCTTTGCTTATTGACATATTTTGCCTTTTTATAAAATTTCAAGTTATTTTCTTTATCTACTCCATGGTAAGAATTGTTGTACGCCTTTTTTTTTTTTTTTTGTACTGAGAATTGAACTCAGGACTTTGGGCTTGCCAAGCAGGCACTTGTACAACTAAACTACATCCCCGGCCTTTAACATATTTTAATACACCAATCGGATCATTTACAGACTAAAAATTACTTGTGGAAATTTTAAAAATAAAACACTTTTTAAAAAGGAGGAAGTAAAAATCTAAATTCAGCTAAAACTTTTGAGCTATATTTGTACAGTGGTTTTATAGACTGTGTGTACGTATATATTTTTGGTTGAGGGAGGCAACAAAACATGACGTGTAAGTGCTCCACACAATTAGGGCTACAATAAAACTCATCCACGTCACTGATGGAATAAGCAAAACAGGAACAAAGAAATGATAAACAAATAACCAAGACCGAAGGAGCCAATCTTACTCCCAAATTATGCTGCATTTGCCACGTGCCCAGCCAAGGCAGAGCCCCACATGCAAACCGTGCCCTCTCCCAGATGATGGACGTGGTGAGCGCTGCCGGCCCTGGAGCAGACAGCTGTGCACTGACCTCTGCCTTCAGCATCGCATGCCTGAAACACACCAGAGAGGACCTCTTCTGCTCTAGCCGCACAGGCGCCTTCTGGTACATCTTGGTCACCGTCAGCTCCTAGCTTCCATCCTATCAAAAGAAACTGTGTAAACCCAGGGCTTTTCAGGGCTACAGAGATGAGTTTCTAATGAGGAGATACACTTCAGTAAAAGAAAACTTATCCTCATGAACTTGCCTGATGTGAAAAATAAACTGTCTTCAAGCCTTCCTTAGTGAGATAAAAAGATATGTGAAGTGTGGCTCAGTGTGAAGATCCTGAGTTCAATCCCCAGTACCACAAAAATGAGGAGGAAGGATGGAAGGGGGAGGGGGAGACTGGGAAGGAGAAGGGGAGGGGAGACGAGGGGAGGGGAGGGGAAGAGGGGAGGGAAGAAGAAAAAGGAAGAGAGAAAGCGGAAACTAGCTACACAGATTATGTGCCACTTTATATTTTGCTTTTTTCCAGAGCCTGTTACATATGGGCCTCCATGAGCAGTCTCCTAGAGGTCCCTTGAGTTTTAATCGGCCTGCAGAGTGCTCATCTTCCTCCCCAGACACCTCCTTTCCTGCAATAGGACCCCCACTTTTTTTTTACACATTTTTGCTCTTAAGAAATGTCAAAGGGATTGTATCAGCAGGACATCCAGGCACTGTCTGAATTTTAACTCCCCTAGATCCACATTCCACTCTGGCTTGAAGAAAGTTTATTTTTCACATCAGGCGAGAAACACCACATGACAATGACTGTGCAGGCGCCCTAAAAGTCCTATGCAGATTTCCATTAGAAGCCTAGGAAGCACATTTCACAGCTAAGATTTTCAAGGTGGGGTGGGGAGGAACGAACATACTTAAAACAGAAAGGGGCAGATGGACGCTTCCATTGCAGCTCTCACAATGTGGGTTTTCTTTTTGGCTCAGCGAGTCTAAAAGTAGATGTACTTATTAGTTTCTCAGAGGAAAAATCAAGTCAAATGATTATTTACCATCTTTGTTCAGAGATAACTTCCTCACCACGGGATCCTGAGGCGTCAGCGCCGTGGAACTCTGCCCAGCGCTGGACACGAGGCCAGAGGCTGAGTGCCTGGGCATGCAGGGCCCGAGGTCACCTTCCCAGAGGAGGAGCTGGGGCATCTCCATGGCATCTGCAGGACTCCTGCAGCTGCTCCTGGATCTCAGCCCCGAGATGCCCTCGGAGCTCCTGGGACCCGCAGAGAACATGACCTTCTTGGGGGACAAGAGTTGGCCGATGGATGGAGGACTTGGGGACACCATTGCAGAGCATGACACGGAGGAGGCTTCTGTGTCCCCAGAGCTCAAGAAACAGGAATCGGGCACAGGAAGGGGGCCCGGGGTCGCCCTCCTCAGCACCTCCTCCAAGTCAGTCCTGGCGTGGGTCTGCGGGTTGTCTGAGCCACTGGACTGGTACCCGAGCATGTGCTGGCCTGGATCCGACACCCCCTCTCTCCTTTGAATGGCTTGGAGTTTTCTACAGATGCTGCTCACCGGGTTGTGCCGCTTCCCGGTCACCACCCTCGCAGAAGCCATGGTGACTTCCTGCCAGACAGAGGCGGCTGGAGCAAGAGCACAAGGAGACACGTTTTTAAAAGTCAGCACTGTGCTAACAATAATTTAGCAATCAGCTATTTATTCCCAGTCTAACTTTGGAGGGAATCAAGACAATATGTTCAACTGCTCTAAATAATCTTCCATCCACTTAGCACTGGCACTCAGATATATAGATTTCCTTCCATGTGTAGGCATGAAACTGAGAAGGATGGATGGATGGATGGAAAGACAGATAGATAAATTAGATAGATCGATCTTCTTAAAAGTACTCTGAGGTCAACATCACTATCTCCCGCTGGGTGTGGTGGTACATGTCTGTAATCCAAATATTTGGGAGGCTGAGGCAGGAGGATCACTGGGAGTTCAAGGCCAGCCTGGTCTAAAAGAGAGTTCAAGTCCAGCCTAAACTGCATAGTGAAACCTTATCTCAAAAAGGACAAAAGTAAAATAAACATTCTTATCTCTATTGTCAGATAAGACTAAAAGACATATGCAAAATCAAAGCTGGGTGTGGTGCCCATGCCTGTAACCCCAGAACTCTGGAGGCTGAGGCAGGAGGATCACCACTGAGTTCAAGGCCAACCTAGGCTACATCATGAGACCCTGTCTCAAAAAAAGCCACAACGAAAAAAGTCACCCCTAGAGAAGTGCAAGAACCCAGATCTGAACCAGACAGCCTGGTTTCCAGAGCTGGACTTTTAGCCACACTGCTTTTCAATTACAACAACCCATCATGATACGTCATGATGCTAATTGCCCACAAGTAAGTACCTGCTACTGGCATTTTTCTGGGTCTCATCCATTGGTAACTTTCTAAATGTGCCTTGAAATTCAGTATTCTATATGTAAACTTCATGCAAGCCCAGCCAAATGTGTGCGGCATCCCTCTTACGGATAATGAAATGGAGACTCCAAGAGATCAAGTAGCTAAGATGTGAGCCAAAGTGTGCACAACCCCTGCAGAGTTCTGACTTTCTGGGTGCTGGAGACTGAACCCCGGTAGACCTCACTCATGCTAAGCTCGCTCTCTACTACAGTATTATGCCACACCTCAAGCCCTCCAGCATAGTCTTCTACCGCACGGCAACCAATATAGCCTTTAAAAAAATTAAAAACATGATTCCTGTCTCATATAATTAGTAAATTTGGGAATAAATTCAAGAATAGTTCAAAACTTATGAAGAGTTTGATTGTTAGCCAGGACTGGTGATGCAAGCCTATAATCCTAGCACTCTGGGAGGCTGAGGCAGGAGGGCTGCAAGCTGAGTCCAGCCTAGGTTGCTTGGCGACTGAGCCAGACCCTGTCTCTAAATAATTTAAAAAGTGCAGAGGCCCTGCGTTTATCCCCAGTATTGATTTTTTTTAAGTTAGAAAATTAAAGAAACTGGAACCTCCAGGAAGATGATATCCAAACCCTCTCTTACTTCAGTATGAGGCTGACAAGGTTCAACCACCAGCATGGTAAAGCCCACCTCTAAACCTTTATGTTGTCACCTGACAGTGCCTTCCTTCCCATGTATTCAAGGCTTCTTTTTCAAAACCAAACCAAAAGCAAATTCTTCGATTAAAATCTGCAAGCTGGTGTATGCTCATTCAACTTCTTTCCATCTCTGCTGAGATGTATAACTGCATGGTATTTTCATGGAATTAAATATTGCTCTCTATTCTTAGATAACTTCAAATATATGTGCCTGTTATTTCCTAAGAATACTTCTAATTCTTATAATCAAAACCATATGATTTTTTAAGATACTCAATATGCTATTGTTGGCACCACTGATTATCCACCATAATAAATAGTACGTGTAATTACCTGGCTTGAAGACCAGGATGATTGACTCCCAATTACTTTAAGCTGCCATCTATCCCAGGGAATCCTCCTTTATCCCAACAGGAGCTGCCACCCTCGGATGGATGTGAAATAGTGTTTGAAGACAGAAAAGAAACCACCTGTGAACACACTGTACTCCAAGTCCATTGCTGATTCTGTGTGACTGCCCTGGGCAGAACCCACCTGACTTCGCCAAGCCAAGCAAAGAGCCACATGAGAGACTGGCTACATGTTTTCAGCGCCATCCATGTAAGCTGGCAACTTCTCCTTTGCACTAAGGTGCAAGTTGAACATGAAGCTAACAGAGCCCCTAGAGTGAGAGCCTCAGACTTGCAAGTGCCTAACCAATGAAGTCCCATCCCCTCCAAGTCAGGAAGACAACCTCACTCTGTGGGAGTGCTGACTGCCTCCTGTTAAAGTTCCCAGGCTGCAAGACATGTGATTCTATTTACCTTGTCTTAATTTTCCCTTTGCTGAGACAAAATACCAATGCTCAAAATTAAAGGGGGAAAGGTTTGTTTAGCTCACAGTGTGTAGAGGTTTCAGTCCATAATCAGCTGGCTCCAAGGCAGGGTGGCACACAGCACAGAGACCTCCCAGAGGAGAACAATCCATAGTGGGCAGATGGAGCAAAGCAACAAGGGGCCAGCAGGCCTCTTTCTGCCCCTTGTATTGTACCTGTGCCACCAGGATTAGGGTGGCGCCAAATCAATCCGTGGACTAATTCGGTAATCAGTTACCCTTCATCCGAGCACCTTCGCTCCCTGTACTGCACCATGAATCAGCCACACACTCTGGATCCAGCCACCTCTGCAGAAACCCCACCTATGACCACAAGGCTTTAGGGGACAACGAGATGAAGACCATAACACTGCTCCCAAGCCATTTTTCTCCCTGTACCACCTGTTTTCTAAACCTAAGTGAGTCCTGCTTGGCAGGTGATGGGCTGACACCTTGCAGATTACACTTAGAGCCCCAGCTCTTGACCAGCTGACAACACTTAACAAAGAGTACCTTGTTTTGTTCATTCTAGCATGGAACACAACATTTGTGGGAGTCAAATAAGATGGGATGATAAAGATGTCAAGATTTGTGCTACCTTCTCCACATATGGCTTAGAAATATCTTCCTTTTTATTCAAATTTTTGAGGTGTTTTTGCTTTAAGTTTTACATCTGGGTAGAAGAGATTAGTTACAACATGCCATAACGCTTAAAAATATATGTCTAGTTTGCTTTGCACAATAACTGCCTTTCCCAAAGCATTAACTGAAAGTTAAAAGGCAAAAGTAATTTTTACAAGGAGAATTAGTTCTTTGGAGTCTCCTTTTGAAAAGGAATCACCCCTCTATCTGTTTTAGCTGACCATTTTGTCATATGAAGATGGTACACTTATAGAAATCCCAATCTTAAACTCAGTGTGACAGCGCCTGTCTGGAATCACTTGGGAGGCTGAGGCAGGTTTGCAAGTTCCAGACCAGGCTGGGCTACAGAGTGAGTTCAAGGTCAGCCTGAACTACATGGTAAGACCTGGTCTGAAAAGGGAAAAAAAGAAAATCCCAATCTTGCCACTAATGCCAAAAACTGTTTCTTTTAACCTCTTTAACCTCAGCTACGTTATATATATAGATACATAGTTTTGGGGGGCTACTGATGATTGAACCCAGGACCTCATGCACATCAAGGAAGTACTCTATACTGCCTTTTTTTTCTAGAAATTTTGAGATTTCCTTTGTTCTGGCATCCAAAAGTCATTTTTGATGAGCCAGATTACATCCACCACCATCTGTGTACAATATAGACAGTGTTTAATAATCCTTAAAAATTTACAAAGACTAACCTGCATTTATCAATGATTCAATTCCTAACCTTTTTTTTTTTTTTTTTTTTTTTTTTTTGGTACGGAGATTGAACTCACGGCCGCATGCTTGCAAGGCAGGTGCTTTATGCCACTGAGCTAAAACCCGGGCCCAATGCCTAACAATTTTTAAATGTCACTGCCAGAAAGTCCCAAGAGTCACACAGATGTACAAAAGTAGAATCCTTGAAGTTGTTAATCTCAGGATGATGGACAAAGCCCTTTAGATAATCGGAAACTAAAAAGATGTTGACAATACATTTGTTTCCTTTATGAGCAATCTAACTTTCCCCTTCCTTCATTAATATGACTTCTTGAACACTGTACTGCCAAGCTTTAGATCAGGTGAGCATATTTTTAAAAGCTTCAATATTCGATTATGAAATGCAGACAGACCTTTCATGCCTCATCTAAGTCAAATCCACTGAGTGGTTTCATTAAAACACAATCTTTAAGCCAGGCGTGGTAGGGGAGCCTGAGGCAGGAGGATCGTTGCAAGTTCTAGACCAACCTGGGCTACAAAGTGAGGTCAAGGCCAGCCTGAACTGCATAGTGAGACCCTGTCTCAAAAAGACAAAAGAAAATGAAACAAACAAACAAAAACAATCTTTAGTTGATGGACGCAAAAGATGTAAATACCTGTAGATGACAAAGGATTCCTTTTGCCAAGACTGCCCTCACTAACAGCAGACACTACTAAACCGTTCACCAACACCTAAGAAGAGATGCCCGTCTTCACTGGACCCAGCGAGAGGGCAGAGTGTGGTTTTCTTTTTAACCCAGGAATTTTATATTTGCCAGATCAAACTGTGTTCAGTATTCCTGTGATGAGTATTTTATGTGATGAAATAACACCTTTTCTTGCCTTTTCTGGGATAAGTGATAATAGCAATTAATCAAAATAATTTGCAAACCACAAGTCCCAGATTTAGTAAAGGCCCCAGCAAACCAATCACCTGCAACCCGTATTAAGCTCGTAAACTGGAACAGCTGGGATACCTCCCTCCCCGCCAGGCGCTCATGCTCAAGCTGGGTGTAAACTTTGTTACACTGCCCTTCTTGGCTGGATCACCCCAACCTTCTTAGAAACATCTCCTGAGCAATTCCTAGCAGAGACAAGGGCTTCTCAAAACTGCCTGTGCACTTCTGTTTCACTTCTTATTTTATGAAGTCTGGTTTTCTTCTCGGAAACCAGAAGACTTACAATAAATCTCCCAGTTTCGAGGTGCTCCCAAGTTCTTAGCAGCCTCCAAAATGCCATCACTGCTTTTCGCTTGTACTCAACATTCCAATGACCCAGTGTGGGAGCCACCAGGAAGGGCCTTAAGCATCTACCCAGAGCCCACTGGGAAACAATGCTGGGGTTCACCAATCCTTCTGGGAAACCTAGTATTATCACACAGCTAATCAATTTCTACTTTTTCAGTTGTTTGGTTTTTTTCTGTCTGTCTCTTGTGGTAATTGGGATTAAACTCAGGATTAAACTTCACACTGAGCTGCATCTGAAACCCCTCTTTAAAAAAAAAAAATTAAGTTGAAACCTTCCCTTCCCACCATACAATTAACAAAGGGGGACTAATTGAGTTTGAAGCCAACCGGAGCTACATAACGAGACACTGTCTGAAAAGAACAAAGATAATCATTAAATGCAATAATTTGAGCCTGGAACTCGCTAAATCTCCAAATTCCGCAGGCTAAACTTAAAGGCCCATCCTCCTGCCTCAGCCTCCCAAGAACCTGGAGTTACAGACATGCACAGTCATGGCCAGTTTAGTAGTTTTCTTTGTCTAGATTCAAATTTGCAATTTATTCTGTGAGGCATCCAGCATAGACTCATACTGGAAGTTGGTCTCTGCCCCAAGTATTCTGAGGTTGATGCTGGGGACACAGGGCAGTTTACATCCCGCATTCCTCCCCCACCCTGTGCGCCAGGACTTTCTAGATCCTAGGTGACTAAGGGCCAGCATGGCTAAGCTTAACCATTTCCTGCGGGGGCGGGGGAAGCACACCACCCTACTTTCCCTTGGCCTTGCCAGCTCACCAAGAACCATCTACCGGAACCAGGAAGATCGAGGCACCCAGCAGATGGTGTGGGAGGAGCTAATTTATATAGGCAGGTGGCTGGGGGGAAGGACAAACTCCGGAAGCCACTGATCAGCTGCACCTGCTTCGCGTGGCGGGGGTGGGGGAGAACGACGGTGGAATTTTGGGCATGGGTGCAGAGTTGGATCTCTGACCATTGTACCTCCATGAAACTCGCCCAGATTGTCTTCTGTCTACTCAGGATGACAGAGAAGTCATTTTTAAGTTAAATTACCTAAATTTCTCTTGAGCCAAGTGCTATGTAGTTAGTTTTGGGAACATCAATGATGTTGTCCCTAGTATAGGACTATATCTATTCTTGGAGTGGCAAAATAAAAATGCTGTAAAACACAAGAGTTAAATATGTAAATTAGGCTCTGAGAAGGTCAGGATAGGGTAAGTTCTACATGGGCCCAGAAGGGTTTGTAAAGGAGCTGGTGCATGAGTTAGGTTTTATGTAATGTGTTTTGGATAGATGGGGACAGTGGAGAGACAGCGCTGTCTGGGCATCTTGAATGAGCAGTCTCAAGATTGGCTCGGGACCTGGAGCCATGAATGAAAAATGTCAGTTTGCATAGAGAGGATGGGCTGGATTCAGAAATACACGAATCCAGGCATGGTTGCCCATGTCTATAATCCCAGCACCTCAGGAGGCTGAGTCAGGAGCGTCAAAAGTTCAAGATCAGCTCAGTTGACTTAGCAAGAGCCTGTCTCAGAATTTAAACCATAAATAAAAAGTGCCAGCGATGATAGCTCGGTACTTCCTGGCTTCAATATACAGTCCAGAAAAGCGAAATCTCCTACAACGCTATTTCCCATGAATAAAGTTCAACTCCGACAGAGGTCTGGAGAGCAGGACAAAACGAAACTAATCACTAGACAAAAAGCAAACTAAGCCGGGAGTAAGGCTCTAGACACACAGCTGAAGCTTTTAACTGGAACATCTGGACCCTAATGGCAGCTCTGGGTAAAACCCGCCGGCTTCCCTAGCCGGCCCCCAGATGCTTATTTACATGCTTCACAGACTGCAGCACAGCGAGGTCTCACTTCTCCCTGCCCTCCGGCGCCCCAATCAGCTTTGGGCAATATCTAGATTTTTATATATGTTCTTATGGTCTTACCTGTGTAACCAGGTAAGACACAAGGGGAGTATAGCGGTTAAGAGTTGGGACCTCCAGGTTTAAATAAACCTGAGTTCAAATCCCAACTCTGCCTCTACTTAGTTTTTGTGACCTTAGGCAATTCCTGCGCTCTCTGTGCCTCTGTTTCTTCGTCTGTGGGATTGTGTTGATATCATGCAACACCTTGTGTGTGTTTGCTGCAGGGATTAAGTGAGAAAATACACGTGCAACCCTAGAACCGTGTCTCACACTGTGTATTCCCAGTCGTGTTAGGTGTTATGATGATCTTTCTGAAAGTCCTTTACTGATTCAGATATTAGACATCCTCTTGAAGTATCAAACAGTGCCTCAAAAAAAAAAATGACCAACTGGCTCCTTCCTTGTGTTGGGTTGTTCTGATTAATTTCCCATGAAAGGAACTATTATAACATCCGTGCTTATCAACCCATGGATACCGAAACTAGCAACACCCAGACAGATTTTCCTCCTAGTCATACAGAAGCCAGTAGTGGAGCCAGAAATAATATATTCAAATCCCAGATCCACTAGACCGTATCTCCTGTCTGTCAAATTCCACGCTGACTTCCTGCTGTGGGTGCGTGTATCATAGCTGCTGCTTCTCAGAGCAGGGAGACAAATCACCCGAGTCCCATGCGTCTGCAATGAGTTGACACCGGCCGCAGGTTATTTCATTACATCATTTTTACTCCATGATGAGACTACTAGAACTCCCCCAATGCCAGGGTCTCTGCCCACTGCGAGCAGACCAGGGAAAGGGCAGATCTTAGGCAATATAGGCTGGTGATTCTCACCCAAAGCCAACCAGAAACAGGCAGCCCCTGCGGGAACAGCCGCTCCAATGCAGCATATGTGTTTAGTTAACAAGGGGAAGTGTGCACAGCAAGCAAATGTTGAAAAAACAAACAAGCAAATAAAAAGAAACCAACATGGTGTTCATGATGCGATGTAATGTGGATGAGTTGGTAACAATACAGTTACTACTTTCTTATCTTGACATTTACTTCTGGGAGACATTTTCCAGGCAGGAATACCAGTATTTTGAGACCTGAAAGCAACCAAGCAGTTAAAATTAGAGAATTTCACTGTCTCTCTCTCATTCATGTGTGTGTGTGTGTGTGTGTGTGTGTGTGTGCACGCGCACATGTGTGTGTGTATCAGGAATTGAACTCAGGACCTTGTACTTGCCAGGGAGGTGCTTGTGCCTCTAAGCCATATCCCTGGAGTAATCAAAGAATTTTGAAGGATGGCAATCCCACTCTTTATAACGGTATTTCAGAGGGATGAAACCTTGTCCTAAAAACAGGTTTTTAAAAATGTGTTTAAAAATACACACACCCTTCCCGCTAACATAATCTTCAATGTCAGACTATCAAAACAGCACTTTCAACATACGTGTGGATTTGCAGGATACATTTCGGGCAGATCCAAGGGTATCATTCTGCCTAGCCAAATATAGATTGAGGAAGAGGGTGCAGTTGAGAGGAGCTGCTACAAGAAAGGAAGGACAGAAAAAGACATTGTAGCCTCATCCTCCTCCAGGACCCATAGAGCCAAACGTGTGTATTTTTTTCCAAAATCCATCCATTAAAAATGCACTATTTCTTGTAACGTGTCTTTAGTGTGTTTAGTCTAAGTATTCTTGTCTTCACTAGCAACAGCAATGTTTTCAGAAAGTCAATTTTCGTAGTTATTGTCCCCAAAACAAAGGGACTGGGAATCTTAGTGAACTGTGGATCCGCTTCTGACAAGGAAAAACACAAAGGGAATGGTTTCAAAGAAAAATCAGCTGTAGGTAGCACATATATGAAAGACATGTAAATGAAGCAGGACCCTGGGTAGCTATTCGAGATCTATTTTTTTTTCCTTTGTCTTTTTGAGACAGGGTCTCACTATGCAGTTCAGGCTGGCCTTAAGTCACTTTGTAGCCCAGGCTGGTCTCAAACTCGCAGTGATCTTCCTGCCTCAGCCTCCCGAGAGTTGGATGGCCCGGTTCTAAGATCTTTTTTTTTTTTGTAGCAGAGATGGAACTCATGACCTTGTGTTTGACAGGCAGGCACTTATGCTGCTGAGCTAAATACCCAGATCTTGAGATCTATTCTTTTATTGAATGAAAACCATCCAATGCCCTACTCTGTGAATATAGAAGAAGATCTCCTCATCCCTGCTCAGTGTCCCCGGAGACTGCCCTCTACGGATGGCATCCACCTAGCTCTCTCCTCTGCCCTGATCCCACTGCATTTGGCCAGCTGAGGCACCAGTGAAAGGAAAATTGGCAGGAGGAAAAAGAACGTGGAGGATTCTCTTGCTCCTCCCTGTCTGGTCTGACCGCAGCCCTGGCTTTCCACAATCCCTGGTGAGTGGTCCTCTACTAAAATGTCCTCACCCGCTCAGAACCTGTCCCCTCCCGAGGGATGGTAATGCTCCCTAAAGCCCCGATGCCAGCATCACAGCTGCCTGTGTTCCTTCTCTTAATCCTGCATGTACCTTCTCGGATTAAAGGTTTACGCAGTTATGTGCCATTTTCAATAAGGCCTTCGATTAATACTCTCAGAGGTCCTGCCAGTTATCATAGCCCCGTGTGGGTGTCATCCGCACTACACAAAGGACTTCAGAACCAGTAAGATGCTAATATCTTCTCTTCATTTCTTCCATTGATTTATCCACTGTGGTATCAGGGATTGAACCCAGGCACTTGAACAGGATAGGCCGGAGCCTTACCACTGAGCTACAACGCCACCGCTTCTCTTTATTTTTAAACTCTATGTGGTTTCCTTTGGTTAAGCACATGCAGGTAATTCATATAAGGAGATCTGACTAAAACAAAAAATGTGGCCACAAATGTTGACATCAATGCCAAGTTGGTTTCCACAGAGTTCATGCCAATTTAATCTCACATTTGGGGATGATGGTGTGCAGCATATGTACCATTGTTGCCCCTGATTGATGTGTTTGGAAATTTTGTTGTAGTTTTTCTTCTTCTTCTTCTTCTTCTTCTTCTTCTTCTTCTTCTTCTTCTTCTTCTTCTTCTTCCTCCCCCTCCTCCTCCTCCTCCTCCTCTTCCTCCTCCTCCTTTTTCTCCTCCTCCTCCTTTTTCTTTCTTTCACGAAATGGATTTTTAAAAAATGAAAAAAATAAAATAAAATTACAACAACAACAACAAAGTCCCATCATCATCTGGGAGTGAACTCAGGCTCTGCATACCCGCCTGAGGACAACATGTCGATCTTTGCCAACCTGATAGGCAAAACACAGCACACCATCACTTAATTGGCATTTCTTTTATTCTGAATATATTTCATATGTTTAAATACATTTGCATTTCCATTTCTATTTGTGTTCTTAGGTCCTTTTTCAGTGAAGCTAGATTTGATCAGTTTACAAAAGCTGTTCTTTATGAGACATGGTTCTTTGCAATATGTGTTACAAATGCACTTCTACAATGTAGCATTTATAACTTTATGTTCTTTGAAGTACTGCTTTATTAAAAAATAGTTAAATTTCAGTGTATTCCCATGTGATAGATGACTTTGTGTTAGCCTCAGAAAGATTCTTCTGACCAAAAATATTCTTTCCTGCTCTTTCTAGTGCCTCTTGGTTCCATGCACTTCCGATTTATTTGGGGAGAAGAGATGGGACCCCATCTTCATTACCTTGCAGGTGATTGCCCAGCTTTCTCTAGGAAGTTAGTGGTTATGTAAATTACAGTTCATGTACACATTAGGATACAGTGCAGCTGTCTGCATGAAAGTGCCTGTAACTATCACTTTGGGAGACCAGTCACTAAGATATAAATTCAAATCCAGTCTGGAAAATTTAGGGAATTCTGTCTGAAAACTTTAGAAGAGGGTGTCACTCACTGTGAAGGCCTGGGGATAATCCACAGTGTTTTAAAAAAAGAGAAGCTGGGTGTGGTGGCTCACGCTTGTAATCCCAGCCCTCAGGAGGCTGAGGTGGGAGGATCCTTGTGAGTTCGAGACCAAAGTGAGCTCAAGGCCAGCCTGCATTGCATAGTGAGACCCCGTCTCAAAAAAAAAAAAAAAAGGCTCTGTAAGAACTGATAAGGTATTTAAAATTATGTGGTTAATAGTCAACATTAAGCTGGAAAATAGTTGCTTATGCCTTTTCTGAGTTTTAAAAGTACAACACACACGGGGGGGGGGGTGGTGGCATACTTCTATAATCCCAGCACTCAGAAGACTGAGGCAGGAGGATCCTTGTGAGTTTGAGACCAGCCTGGGCTACAAAGTGAGCCCAAGGCCAGCCTGAACTGCATAGAGAGACCCTGCTCTAAAAAAGACAGAAAACAACAACAAAAAAACCCCGCAAAACAAAAATGCACATATGGAGAGAAGTAAACTTATATGTACATGTTTATATTCATATATCTTTATATATAGATTGATCTAAATCCAAAATAAATGGGAGACAACGACAACCTATGTAACGCAGATGTGTGAAATGTCAAGCGTGTAGCTGAAAATTTAGTTCAGCAACATCACACACTGTGGAAATGTGGGTCATTAGCACCCTCTGCTGGGAGATAGTTGAATTTCATTGCCCCCATCACCCATAAACTTCTGTAATTTCTTACTCAGTTTTGCGATTGATTACAATCACTGCTCAAATAGTGTACCCCAAGTGTGATAATTTTTATAACACAATTTTTAAAAAATCACTGTGGAAAATTTCTAGTTATGAAAAACACATCCCAAAATCAGGTAGTCCATATTCTAGTGATTTTACTGGAAATAACTTTATATTTGATGATGTGAGAATTCTGAGGATGAAACAATAATTATTTTTAATAATGATTATCTCAAACATTTTTGTAAAATAACCAGCATTATGTATATTTGCCTCATCAGCTTTTCATGATGCGATAGTCATTTGATGTGATAGTCATCACAAACATAAATTTTACAACCATGATCCAGGAAAAGGGCTGACAAGGAGTCACAGATAAATAAATAGATAGATAGATAGACAGATAGACAGATAGATTGCTAAATGAGACAGGATGTGCTGACAAACTGAAGGTAGAGTTTGAGAGAATAAAGGAATGAAAAATAACATCTAATCCTACATATTAGTATATAAAGTACATTTGTACAAAACTCTTTTAAAAATCAAGCAAAGAGGCCAGAGAAGAAGCTCAGCAGCAAAGTGCCTGCCTGGCAAGCGGGAGGTCTGGCTGGGATTATCCACTGCCCTTCAGTAAATCTACAGATGGTTTGCTGGGATTAATCCACACAGATCTGGGCTCTGCCCACTCTGTCTACTAATGATAACAGACACACCCTGAAGTGGACTTTTTTTTGTCATCTTTTTAAGACAAGGTTTCACTAGACAGTTTAGGTTGGCCTTGAATTCACTACTTTATAGCCCAGGTTGGTCTAGAACACTCGGAGATCCTCCTGTTTCAGCCTCTTGAGTGCTAGGGTTACAGGTAGGAACCACAACCACCACACCTGGTCTTTTTTATTTTCTCTTCTTGGTTTTGGTTTTGCTTTGGTTTCCTTTGTTTTCTCTTGATTGCTTGTTCTTGATTTTATGTGAGACTGTCCCCCAAAGCCTCATGTGCTCAGAAAGCGGGCTTTTGCAAAGTAATTGGATGATGCGGGGTGCTATTCTCATTAGGGGAGGTGAGCTCAAAGCTAAATGTGCTGCTGGGAGGAAGGGCCTGTTCGGAAGAGGTGAGTCATAAAAAGCATGACCAGATGCTCTCGGACTCCTGCCACTGCCATGTGAGCCACCTTCCTCCACCCACTCTTTTCCACCATAAAATTTCTTCCCCGGAGTCTTGGACTGCAACTGTGACCCAAAATCAACCTACCTTCCTTGAAGCTGTGAGCACTGGGTATTTTGTCTCAGCAACGAGGAAAATGCCTGAGGCAGTTGATGAGGCTGGGCTACTAGAAGGAATAAATTGAAAAATTAGAAGGTAGCAGTCAAAAAGCATAATAAAGCCAGGTGTGGTGGCTCATGCCTGTAATCCCAGCACTCGGGAGGCTGAGGCAGGAGGATCATTGCGAGTTCGAGACCAGCCTGGGCTGCAAAGTGAGCTCAAGGCTAGCCTGAACTGCGTAGCAAGACTCTGTCTCAAAAAAAAGCATAATAGATTTTGAGATACATAGGCACAGAGCTATAAGTAGTGACAGAGTTAAGGATGTGGCTGTGGAGTAGCTTCAAAAGGAGCTCTAGCAACCATGCAAGCCCATCATTTACGATATTTATCTCCATGAGGTGTCCTCATGGCATCGAGCAACTTAGCTATTTGATTTAGGTATGCTATATAATGTATCTCTTCGATGTCCTCTTGCAAATAATCCCTTGAGTGGTTCTTATTTCCATACTAGCAGTTAAAATAGCCAACAGGATACACATAACAGTACTTTTTAAATGGAAGAGGTATTCTCAATAGCAATTCTAAATATTTGAACTGGACCCTGTACTTAGTTTGAAAGAAAACATGTTTTTTTCTTTTTCTTGCCTGGTGGGGAAGAATTCATGTTGCACAATGATTGCATTCACTTTCTTGTTTTTATGATATACAAAACGGACTCACTCATCATGATTTCCTCCCTCAGACGACTCACAAAGTGGTTAGCATCCAGAGTTTAATAAATAAACCAACCGCCCTATGTAAAATCTAGGTTTCTTCTTTATACCAAGACCAACAGACTTGGCTTTGTCATTGTTATGGGAGAGGGCAGTTTTCTAAGTTCCGATCCTGCCATCAGGATTTGGATACCACAAATGAGATTTTACCTTACAATGATCCTAAAACATGAGAACTTATGACTTGATTAAAATTCTTAGTTCTAATTGCTTCTCTACTGTCTGCATGGACAGCCATACTGGGCTTCATTTCCTGACCATCAACAAAGCATTTTTATCAGCAACAAACTATTGGTTCTGGGATCTTATTTTTTATCACCAATCACAGCTCAGCAGACCTCAAACTCATAATCCTCCGGCTTCAGCCTCCCGGGGCAGTGCATGTATACATTATTATGCCATCAGTCCTGAAGCTCTAAACAGGAAATTATAGACTTTATAATGCTGTCCTGCAAGTCTTGCTGTAAATCTTACCAACCCTATGGAAACCCCCTTCCTTTTGAAAACATATGGCTAAACTGAAAGCATCAGTGATGGCAGTAATAACAAAGAAAATGGCAGAATCCAGTTTTGTAACTTAATGTAAATTTCAAAATGGAAAACCCAGACACGTGGAATTTCTGTGCTGAATCCCAGCGCTCAGCAGCTCAAAGCCCAGAAGGTATTCAGTTGATTTAATGAAGCTCTCTGGCCAGCCAAAAGGCTGTGATAGCATTTCTGCTTCACAGGGTTTGAAGGGGTGAATCTTCTGTCAGCTCTCAAACTTTTGCAACTAGAAAAAAGCGGGGAGAATCCCACACTGACAAAATGGGATTAGTAGAGGAATAATCTTTAAATTAGAGAATGGAGGTTTGACATGAGTGAAAGCAAATCATAAGGTATAATTGACAACGTTGGTGAAGTTAAGAAATTATTACAGTGAAAGACACATTGCATGAAACCCCCTCCAAAATCCTCCCCCTCACTTTGAGCTCACTTATCCCATCATTCTCGCCGCTTTCCAAGCAGCTCTAGAGCCCTCTTTCTTGTCTTTAGCTGTTCTGTGGCTGCCTTGATGTCCTGAAACCTTCCAAAATGTTTACCTTTCATGTTCATTGCGATATCAGGAAGAGCCGGAAGTCACAGTGTCTGGTCAGCTCAATAAGGGAAGTGAGGACACGCCAAAATGTTTTCACAAGGCTGCCTTTCCACCGGGTGGCACTCAGCAAGCAGCATTCACTGTATTTTTATCACACCCTGATAGAGATGCTCATGAAAGACAATTTCCAGAACAGCTTGGGAAAGCTGCAAGAATGGCCAGGCATGGTGGCACATTCCTGTAATCCCAGCACTCAGGAGGCTGAGGCAGGGACCATCAAGCATTCAAGGCCAGCCTGGGCTGCACAGTGAGGTCAAGGCCAGCCTTGAATTACAGAGCAAGACCCTGTCTCCAAAAATAAATACATATAAATAAATAAAAAGAAAGTTGCAAGCATAATGAAATGAGTGTGTTCAAAGCAAGGGGAGATAGCTTGGGAGGATTAATGACAATGTATCTTTTATTATAATAATTTTTAAGTTTTTTTAAAATTTTATTTAAGGAGAAAAAGAAAAAAATAGAAAAAGGGTACAAGTTATACAGAATTTCAGAAAAAAGAAACAGTAGGAAATCACTAGTTAATAGGTTACATATTGTCATCTTAGAAATAGTTGTTTAAGTTACAAAATTAAAGCATATAAAGTGGACATTCAAACAGTAAGACTGCAAACAGTTCTGTTCAATGATCCAACAAAATTCAGCAATATGGTTATCTATCTTATATTCTTAAATATACATGCAGTTATATCCTTTAGAGCACTTTTTTTCCCTCTCTTTTGTACAATGACAATTACACATTTTGGGTTTTATTACTCCCACAGTTCTTATTACTTTTTTTTTTTGAAGAGAATAAAACCAAATGTGACATAACAAAACAGAGTCAGTAAAATCAAAAGGATGGACACAATACATACTATAAAAACAAAATACAAGGTGATCAACAATGGTTACCATAATGCCTCTTGCTATCTTAAAAAGAATTGCCTTTACTGATACAAATGAAAAAGACAAAAAATTGCCTATATCATCAGTTATAATAAAATTGAACAAAACAGTAAAGAACAAAACCAATAAAACCAAAACATTGGAGACATTACAGAACTTCAAAAGAAGATAATAGTCAAATCAGAATGGGCGTCATAATGAATCTTATTTGTCTTCACAGTTGTTGCCTATATTTTTGAACTTGGTACTATCAAGCAAAACAGAATAGAGGAAAATCAGTCCAAACAAGATGGTGAAAGCAATACAGGGCTTCAAATCAAGTTAATAGGAAATCAAAGTAGGTTACAATAATATATCCTGCTTTTTTCTATTTATTTTTCCCTTAATTAAAAAGATAAAAATAAAAAAATAAATAATAGAAAAGGAGACAAATAAAAGAGGACATAACAACAAAACAGCACAGGTCAGAACATAACATTTTTTTTTTAAGGAGAAAAAGAAAAAAAAACAGTAAAAGGGTACAAGTTATACAGAATTTCAGAAAAAATAAACAGTAGGAAATCACTAGTTAATAGATTACATATTGTTATCTTAGAAATAGTTGCTCAAGTTACAAAATTAAAACATATAAAGTGGACTTTCAAACAGTGAGACTGGAAACAGTTTTGTTCAATGATCCAACAAAACTCAGTAATATGGTTATCTATCTTATACACTTAAATATATATGCAGTTATATTCTTTAGAGCACTTTCTTTTCCTTTCTTCTATACAATGACAATTACACATTTTGGGTTTTATTACTCCTGCAGTTCTTACTACTTTTTTTTAAGAGAATAAAACCAAATGTGACATAACAAAATAGAGTCAGTCAAATCAAAAGGATGGACATAGTACATAATGTAAAAACAGAATACAAGGTGATCAACAGTGGTTACCATAATGCCTCTTGCTATCTTAAAAAGAACTGCCTATATCATCAGCTATAATAAAATTGAACAAAACAGTAAAGAATAAAACCAGAACATTGGAGACATTACAGGACTTTAAAAGAAGATAATAGTCAACCGGAATGGGTGTCATAATGAACCTTATTGTCTTCACAGTTTTGCCTATACTTTTGAACTTAGTACTATCAAGCAAAGCAGAATAGAGGAAAATAAGTCAAAGCAAGATGGTGAGGGTTATACAGGGTTTCAAATCAAGTTAATAAGAAATCAAAGTGGGTTACTATAATGTATCCTGCTTTTTTTATTTTTCCCTTAATTAAAAAGATAAAAATAAAAAAGTAAATAATTTTTAAAAAGGAGATTGAGATAAAAGAGGGCATAACAACAAAACAGCGCAGGTCAAGGCATAACCGTTTAAGCAAAATAGTGTTTCACCACAAGATATCCTGATGTAAAAGTAGTTACCATAGTGTCTCTTTCCTTGAAATCTTTGAGTATAACTTTGTATACTGTAGCACCAAACATACCAAGACAATGTAAAACCATTCAAGAGAATGACAGTAGTACAGGGTATTTAGAACCAACTATCAGAAAATGAACAATGGTTTCTGTATAATCTCCTTGTCTATAAAAGTTTTTGTTCATATTATCACATATAATAAAATCCAATAAGATACAACACGTTAAAACTGATGGAGACAGAAGAACAAAAGCTTGATGGGACTTCAAAACAAGAGGATATTAAATCAGCACTACCTATTATGATGTCATGTTTTCTCCCAAATAGCTGTTCATACCATCCAACCTTCTCTGCCTCATTTCTGTTGAGCTCTTTTTCTGTCGTTTGTTGTCAGTTTGTCTTCTTCATTTCGCTTTCTGCTCCATTCATTGTGGCCTCTCTGCCACTGTTTCTGAAGTCTTGGTATTTTTCTTTTTTTAGAATATCCTGCATTCACTAAAGAAAATGTATAGAAAAAAAAAATAGAATATCCTGCAGTATTCTCTGTAGAGTTGAATTGGTGGTTGCAAATTCCCCTAGTTCCTCTTTATCCTGGAAGCATCTTGTTTTCCCTTCAATTTCTAGGGACAGTTGTGCAGGATATATCAATCTTGGCTGGAGGTTGTTATCTTTCAAAGCTTGAATTATTTCCCCCCACACTCTTCGTGATTTGATGGTTTGTGCCGAGAAGTCTGCTGTAATTCTGATGGGTGTTCCCTTATAAGTGATCTGTTTCTTGTCTTTGACGGCTTTTAATATTCTGTTCTTATATTGGATTTCTGGAATTTTGATTATTATATGCCTGGGTGTAGCTCTGTTTGGGTT